CCYKGGGYAMACTGACAGARGCRAGGCTGCCATRCACMGGCGCCACCRTCTGACCACCATCAGTAGGCAAGGCGGGTAAGGTGTCTTGCCCAASRACACAACAACTGAGTCGACCAGACGAGGGATCGAACCGGCAWCCTTCCGKTTCCAGGACAACTCCCCTAACCACTCTACCACAGCCACCCCAACATTTAACATCAATTAATTTAACATCACCAGACAGAGTATCAWGTCCACTTTTTATCTTCAGGTCTTTGGGTCATTGTTGTATAATAATCTGACAGCTGTGTAATGAGACATGTGTGGTCCAAATGGACTGTACTTGTATCGTTACACAAGACTTTATCCAACCAGGACACTCAAAGCTACAATCACTACAATCTGTGTCCTCATTTACCCATTCACACAGCACTCTACTAGAAACAAAGCTAACGTACAAATCCCTGATGGGACACACATCAGAGGCATTAGGGGTGAAGTGTCTTGCCCAAGGACACAACAACTGAGWYAGCTGGACGGGGGRTCGAACTGGAARTCTACCAGTYYCAGGACRACTCCYCTMACCACTCGGCCCCAGCCGCCCCCCTGGTTTACCATGGCTCTTCTGCTGCCCTCATGTWAACCTGATCCCTGAGACTCCAGGTTTAAAACTGAACCTTGTGGGTCCAGTTGACCCAAGCTTAGCAGGACTGGTAACCAGCTCATGCTCATGTACCAATAACAAACATGTCCAGTTACAGTCTGTGAAAATAATGAGGCATTTTCTCTGATTTTAGGCCAAGAGAAAAAAGACGGCTCCACCAGAGAAACCAGCCAAGAAACAAAAAAGTGGAGAGAGCTCAAAGCCGAGCGGTTCATCCAAGAGCAGCAATAATGGTGATGACAACATGTTCCAGGTGAGCAACAAGCAGGATTCATCGTTTCAACTTTTCTTTCAAAGCTCCAGCTCATAAAGGCAGAGTCTATCTGTGAGCTGAGGCCAGTGTCCCATTTCTTTTAATAGCTCYGACCTGCTGGTACCAATCTCCTTCAAAGATCCAGCTCATGTTTTTATATTAACTGTAAGAAGTATTCACAATAAGAAACCTTCATCAACTTTGTAATTTAGACCAAAGTTTTGTAGAGGAAAACGAGCACACAGCCTGAGTCAAGATTGTGTTTTCATTTACCCTTAAATAAGYAAATGTCTGCTTCCATCTTGGTCCAGCTCTGACWAGCCATTAGCTCATTTCTCMTACGTCCAAACTGATAAATCTGTGAGATCCTGATAACTTCACGCTCTGTCTCACAGCTGTGAAGGAATCATGTAAGTTTTCTGATCTTTACTTAAATAAAACCATAAGTGTGCAGAACCTCAGAGTAAGAACAGTCAGGTATTGGCTGATGGAAGGATTGCTTCTGTAACTCTGACTCTGCTTCTCACAGATCGGTAAAATGAGATACGTCAGCGTCAGAGACTTCAAGGGCAAAGTCCTGATCGACATCAGGGAGTACTGGATGAACCAAGATGGGGAAATGAAGCCGGGGAAGAAAGGTAACCACAGCAGTGTGCTCCTCTCACACACATGTAGCTATGTTTCTCCAACCTGCAAAAATCAGAAAACCAAAGCAGCTGATCAGTTTAACTCCTCTGAGGAATGTTCTGATCACGTTCTAAATCCATGCAGATATTTATTAAACTGAATCACTTTGTTTCAGTGAGCTGCAGAGAAAGCAACACATTTATCCTCATCTGGAAAAATGTAAACATTTTACAGTGACTGTAGACCTAAACTACTAAAGAAGATTGTTTTTATTGCTTTGTGATGTAAAATTCACCTTTTTATTTTTATTTATTTATTTATTTTTCAGGCATTGCCTTGAATCCTGAACAGTGGAACCAACTAAAAGAGCAGATATCAGAAATTGATGATGCCATTAAAAGAATATAATCATTCCTTCAGATGTCATCTGCTGAACTAATGTTTATGAAGCAGTTTGAGTAAATCCACATTTTGTTTGTTTTTGTTTTGTTAGATTTGTAGTTTCCTGATGTAGRGTCGTCTGCATACTTTGTGTTCATGTGAATGATCAGATGGCTGATGGTAACTCCTCTATAGTGATGTTTTGTACTGAATAATAAAAGTGTTGGACTGGTTTAATATTGGTTTCTTTCTGTAAAAGTTGTTTTGTTTGTGTTTGTTTATTTAGCTCTAAATTTTAGGACAAATGTTGAAACTGGCTTTATTATTGTGATAAGATCCATAGTTGTGAGTCGATAATGTCAGTCGTTTGGTTTGAGACTTCTGTACAAAACCTCTGTATCCCAGTTTTAACTTAATGTTTGTACAATAAAACATCATGCACAGTTTCTCCAGCCTTTCTCCTAATGAGCCGGCTCTAAGAACGTTCTGAGGACCARGGATGAAATGTGGAACCAACAGTCATGATTTTTGTTGATTTACTTTAAAAACATAAGTGAAAAGACGCTTTAGAGCMTCAGAATCTCCACAAACTGACCAGCTCTGTAACAACAAATGATTTGATGTTGACAAATATAGACTTTAAGGCAGCAATGTGTTTGTGAAAGCATTCCACCAAATCTTGATTTCTGAACTCGAGTTAAAACCTTAGTATTGTTTCTAAATGAATATGAACTGGTTTTCTGTGCATTATTTGAGGTCTGAAAGCGCTGAATATTTGTAGTCATGTTGACCATTTCATTTTCTGCAAATAAATACAGTTTGAATTTTACAGACATGTCAGTAGTTCATAGAATAAAATAAAAATGTTCATTTATTCAAGTATATACCTGTAAGAAAATTTGTATTCAATAAACTGAAGTCGAGATGATAAACACAAATGTTAAATAAAGTGATTTGTAGAGGGAATGAAACCATACAACAC